TCAAACTTGAATTGTATGAACGTTTAGGCCCTCTTCTCTTCCATTCCTCATTCGTACAAAACAAAGAGTATTGAAATTAAACATTGAAATCAAAGAAACACCTAAACATTCCAACAACTCAAACTTGAATTGTATGAACGTTTAGGCCCTCTTATCTTCCTCTTCGTTGTAGCACAAGGTCTAAGGGTAGTTTGATGGTGTGAATGGAAGTGTGGAATGGAGTGGGGAGTGATGGAAATGGAAGATGGTTTTTGGATTCTAAGGGAGACTCACGGCACAAGGGAGAAAGGGATGTGTTTGTGGTGTGTTGTGTTGTGAATGGAATGAATCAATTGTGGCTGAAATGGATCCTTATTTATAGGTAAATAAGAGGGAACATGACAGCTAGGAAGTGGGTGGAAATGTGGCTGCATGTGTGGTGCAATGATGAAGGAATAATCTGAAAATGCAAGGTGAAATGAAGTGGAATGACAATGGCATGTGGAATGGCTGGAAAGTGTTTAAAGGGAGTGCATGTTTGAATGATTAAAGGGACATGTGAGGGTGGAAATGATGAATGAAATGCATGTGAATGACAGCTAGATATGTTGATGAATGCATGTGATTAAAGGGTGGAATGCATGTGGCTGAATTGGATTAAAGAATGGGAGTGATGGGTTGGAAATGATGGTGGGTTATGCACGGCAATGATGAATGGGATGGGTGGATTTGATGATTGTGTTGGTGATGAATGCATGTGGAATTGCAAGGAGGAAGGTATGGTTATGGTTATGATAAGTGATAAGTGAATGGTTATGATAAGTGATAAGTGAATGGTTTGATAAGTGATAAGTGAATGGTTTGATAAGTGATAAGTGGTGATGATAAGTGTATGATATGTGATTATGATAAGTGATAAGTGGTGATGATAAGTAATGATATGTGGGAGTGTGGCTGAAATGAAGGAGTGGAATGTTGGAATGTTATGCACGGCTAAGGATATAGGAAAGGTTTAAATGTCCTAAAACTAAAGGGAACAAGGTTTCAACACTTTGGTCTTCAATTAGGTCTTCAATTTCGTCCAACACTTTGGCTCCAAGCATAAGCTATCCATCCTTAGCCCAAAAATGCTCCAAAAGTCTCCAAAATGCATCTTTTTGCTCCTTTAGCCCTTTGGACCTACAAACACACGAAAATAGCTTCAAGTACTAAAATAACTAAAGAAACATAATGTAAATACACGAGAACAAGCCATTTAAGTCGCATGAATATGCTCCTATCAACCCGTCCCCAAAAATTACCGTCTTAATAATTTTTAAATGTGAATTTATGGAAATGCCTTTCGAGGCAAAGATGTTGATTTTTTTTTACTGTCTTGTATGTCACGTAAGGTTCATTTTCTTGGTCATATCCGTGTAGTACTCGTCACTACGGAGGAGATATTAATGCTTAAAGTCGGGGGCCTTTTAGTAAATTAGTTATTTCTAGAAAGCTCCAGATTTTTGGAGCTTAATCTGGAGAGCCACGTGTGTGGCCCAGATTTAAAGACAGAAAAGATGGGCGGTGGAGATGGAGTATAAAGGAGAGAAATGAGGGAGGAACCGGACCAATCATGAAAGGAGAGATAAAAGAGTAACCAATCAGAAGAGAGAGAAAAAAGGGAAATGAAGGAAGAGAAAAAGGAGGGGAACCGAACCGGTTCCCCTTTGACCCGACAACCCTGCTCGACCTGGTTGGTTTTCCAGTGCAATTCATCAAATTTCTGATGAATTGAGAGAATCCACCCTCACCAATCATCATTACATTACCCTTTCTTCGGTTTTCCACCTAAATTGAAGAGGAATTTGCCTTGTTTCCCAACGGACTTGCTTCGAGGGTGTCTCGAGCCACGGCGGTGAAATCCGTTGTTTCGGTAAGCCCTTTCGTCGACCACTACCATCCTCCAGCTCCTTTTGAGCCCAGTAACAAGACCCAAACAAGATTTGGGACATCGGAGCACCGGAGAAGAAGAATCGAGGTTCACCTATTTTAGGAATCTGGTGGGTTTTTGTGCAACTGGGGCTTTTCCCGGCCAAATTGGCCTCATTCACATGTATGGAAGTTACTTTATTCATTGAGATCTTCATTTCTGTGAAGTTTGAGAATTTTTAGAAATAGTTGAATTTTTCAGCGAGTCGGGGTGCCCGACCACCACCTACGGCGGCACGTGGGCTAAGACGTCCCCTGACCTTTTTAGGCTAAATTTGAGTACCCTGATTCCATTGGTGAAGTCCAATTGATGAATTTCCGTTATTTGAACGTAGCTCCATTAAAGTCCGCCGCTTGATTAGCAATCGACAATTCGACCGTTGAATTGTCACCAAACTTTGATACATTATAATACGTAATATTTGAGGATATTAGAAACTTACAGATCAGGAATCCGACGTATGGATCTTTCCGAATAAGATATGTAAGTTAAGTGTTCTATTGATAAGAATTCTAAGACATGATTTGATAATGGTTGTCACATCCTGGCCCGAGAGGACCACTTCCCGGGCCCGCTCCACCACCGTAGCACGATATTGTCCGCTTTGGGCCCCGACCACGCCCTCACGGTTTTGTTTCTGGGAACTCACACGAGAACTTCCCAGTGAGTCACCCATCATGGAAGTGCTCTCGCACATTACTCGCTTAACTTCGGAGTTCCAATGGAACCCGAAGCCAGTGAGCTCCCAAAAGGCCTCGTGCTAGGTAGGGATAGGAATATACATATAAGGATCATTCCCCTAGGCGATGTAGGATGTCACAATCCACCCCCCTTAGGGGCCCGACGTCCTCGTCGGCACACACGCGACCAGGGTTAGGCTCTGATACCAAATCGTCACATCCTGGCCCGGGGGGACCACTTCCCGGGCCCGCTCCACCACCGTAGCACGATATTGTCCGTTTTGGGCCCCGACCACGCCCTCACGGTTTTGTTTCTGGGAACTCACACGAGAACTTCCCAGTGGGCCACCCATCATGGAAGTGCTCTCGGGCGCTACTCGCTTAACTTCGGAGTTCCAATGGAACCCGAAGCCAGTGAGCTCCCAAAAGGCCTTGTGCTAGGTAAGGATGTGAATATACATATAAGGATCATTCCCCTAGGAGATGTAGGATGTCACAATGGTTCTACGCGCCAATCGTTCGTGATGCCTCGATGTTGTGCTAGAGAGTTGAAGCACGGACTTCAGGTGAATGGGCTTTTGTTTTCTATATATATGTTTTCCATTTTCCTAGAAATGGTTTTAAATGGATTTACATTTTTAAATGTCATGTCAATTGCATTACATTTTAGTACATGCATTAGTGTAAATATGCATATTATTGCATGACGCTGCGGACGCCTAGGTAAGCTTCAGGTGAGTGCATATTGATGATAGTGATTGTAGTGTATATGGTTATGTTTAGATGCATTTAGTGTTCATTATCCTGCACTCCGGTGTTAGTGCTCCGCTCAAGGCCAGGGCCAGCCTTCACATGATCGTTCACCTCTTGCACCGCACGCTCACCTTGGATACAAGGCAGGTACCAACATGTTGTATAGACCACATTAGGTGGTTTTGACTCGTAGGTGACTTGCGATACTTCGCACAGCCTGCATATGATCGTAGCACTTGAGCGTATTTATTTACATCCAGCTTGTCGTACAGACCACATTAGGTGGTTTCGACTTGTGTGCAAAAATTGGTTAATGAGCTATAAGTTCAGCCGTACAGGTTATGTTAAGTGACTCCAGCTAGTTTATCATTTTACATTGATTTATTTCACCTGGCTTACTTATTTCATTGCTGAGATACTTGACATGGCATATACTTGGTTTTCACTACTCTCAAGCATGATTTCTATATACGTATGTATTATTATTTTCTGGAAAGTTATACGGGTTTTACAGCGAGGGTTTATAACATTTTCAAAAGGTTTTTATTAAAAACTTTGTTTTCAGACGCACTCACCTTTGTTTTTGCGTCCCTATAAGTTTTAGATGCTGGAAGTTCGTATCGACGAGGATTCTTGGCAAATCCCAATATAGGTGGCTATCTCCAAGGGTATGATCCTTACCCACATTATTGTACTTTGCTTATGCTCTGACGTCGCGTGTGAAATAAGTTCATCCTCACTCACAGTGCACTATTGTCTTTAGGTACTTTTAGGTTTAAATTTGTTCACATTTTCCACATCACTATACTTTATGATTTCGTTACCTTCTAAGTGTCGGCCAGCACAGCTTGATTCCGAATCCTAGTGGACATTCCAGGTCGGGGTGTGTCAGATCCTCTTCGGATCCTTTCCTCCTAATCCACCAAATCAGGGGATCCAGGCCTTTGAAATTTGATCCAACGGCTAGAAACAGGGCTGCACTTTAAAAGTTATAATAGCTTTAGCCGTTGGATCAAATTTCAACGATCTGGATCCCCTAATTTGATGGATTAGGAGGAAGGGATCCAGAGAGGATCCCTTTCCGTACTAATTGGCCTAAATTCTAGTTAAACTTTTAAAACTATAATTAATTTTTTTTAAATAATAAATTTTGTTAAATTATTATCTCTATTAATTAATGAAATCCTCTTTGTCAACCAAAAGAGGATGAAAAGATTATTTAGTCTTCTATTACACAAAAAAAAAATGATGAGCAATAATGTAATTTCACAGATCCAAATTTTATTATTTTTTTATTGAAGCCTCATTCGATGTTAAAATACCTCTAATATTTATAAATAAATAAAAAAACAAAAACAAAAACCTCCCGCTTTGCCCACGTTCTCTCTCTTTCTCCTTCTCATTTTCTAAAAAAATGTGTTTATAGATACAAAGTGTGTAGGCAAATACTAATATTTATTAAAACTATAACAATTAGATAAAGTCCTTTTAATATAAAGGGAAGTGTTATTCGCATTCCAAAAATCTAATTATACACTCCTCACAAATGTATTTTTCTTTCTAAACATAGAAAGTTTAGACTGTAGAATGACGATTTTTGGAGTATAAATAACAATTCTCAATATAAATAGGAAAAAACCAAAGCAAAGAAGCAGCCTCCCCACTGTAACTGCATCGTCATCGTCAACCAAACCCCACGGGATTTCGTGGACTTTTCTGATCAAAAATCAAAAGGCTCGCCTTTTCCCTTCTGGCTTCGTCTCAAGACTTCACGAGGTTCGATTTTCATCTACTAATTCGTTTTTTTTTTTTTTTTTTTTTTACCCCTGATATTGTTAATTTCATCATTTGATTATCTTTTTATGGCTCAAAAAACACTTCTGATTCTGTAATTGTTTGGGAAAATTTGATTTTATTGGATGGCGAAATTTCTTGCGCAATCAATATTTTGTGGTTTAATTTATGGATGATCTTAAATTTTTACTTTTTACTTTTGTGTTATATGATAATTCCAGGTCAAATGGCAAAGAGTTACTTCAAGCAAGAACATGATCTGGGTTTGTACCAGTATTTTACATATGAAAATTGTCACTGTTTTTAATTTATGTTAAGAAAGCAATATAGTGAATGAATTTATGGATATGTGGGTTTTTTTTATTTTTTATTTTTTATGTTTTTTTATTTTTTAAATCTTCAGAGAAGAGACGGGCAGAGGCTGCCAGGATCAGAGAGAAATATCCAGATAGAATTCCAGTAAGAATTTGAATCCCAAGTTCAATTATCTAATTAACAATTATTGTCCAAGATTTTAATGCAGTAAGTTAAAGGATTCGAATGGTTCTGTATTAATTCATAATAATCTGGTACTGCTGTTGTCAGTTTTAAATTTTTAGTAAGATTATCATCTTCAGGTATTGAGAAGTTGATTTCGGATTAGATTCCTCGAACGAGGTTTTGCTGTCTAAAATCTTGCTTTTATTATGTTAAGGTGATTGTGGAGAAAGCAGAAAGAAGTGATATCCCAAACATTGATAAGAAAAAGTAAGTTTTTTTTTTCGCAGTGTGAAGTGCTTATAGTGTGGAATTCTTTTGTCATGTGTCCTGGATCAGTTTTGCTGCTCTTTGATTCCGTCGTTTTTATTGATTTCTAGCCAAGTTGACATCTGTCTAGTTTTGGACAAATTATTTAGGTAGTTCCCTCTCTTTGATTATCTAACTCTTACAATGGCTGAAGTAGGATGTTCTTTATTGTTGATTGGTAACTGATAATTGTCTTTATGTATCATATGACAGTATCCGTTTTCTTTTTGGTGACCTAATTCTTCGAACGGCTGAAGTAGGGAGTTCTTTATTTGTGTTCATCATCCTTGGTAAAATGATTTGGTTATGGACAATTGTCTTCAAGATAATATATGACAATATCGTTTTATCTTTCTGTTTGGGCCGAAAATATTATTTTGGGCTGAGTTTGGAGTTATTCTCGGCCCAGTAGCATTCATTTAGAATCTTGTTGTGGGCTGTCCAATAAGGGCCAGCTGAATCCTCTTGCGAGGAGGATTGGTTTAGATAAGGGTGAGGTAGTCGAAACCTAGTGCAACAAGGAGTCTTAAGGCTAAGGTTGAGGATGCTAAGAATTAGGGGATGAATTTGGTTTGTTTAAAAACTTGGTTCAAAGTCCTAGTAAAGTTAGGATTGGCCGAGACCTAAACAGATTAGGTTGAGGAATTCTAATCCGAGTGATTCTAGCTCGGTTATTGGGGGTTTGCTACCATAAATAGAGAAGGGAGTGCATCATTCAAGCTCTTTCAAGCTCTTTGCGAAGTGAGGTGTTATAGATTTCTAGGCTTGGCACATTGAAAGCTGAGTTGTTTTATGATTGGATACTCGCAAGTAAGTTTGAAAATTTGACATTCAGATGGCCGAACCACATTTACCATCAAGACATACATCTCTTTTGAGTATTTGTGTCCATATAGTCTGTTGCCAGTTTGGCGTGCTAAAACTCTCACGAATATAATCACCGTGATCAAACCCGACTCCGATGACTCATGAACTTCGCAAAACTAGCAGCCTTGTCTTCAGGCTCTAGAACCCAAAGGCTGAGACATGTTCCTTCCTTGGTCGCAATCGCAAGATCAAGAAGTCAGCAGCGCGCTCAAAGCTACATCCAACACATTTTACTCCCCGGCCGAGCTCGGCCATCGAGTTTGCACACCCCGCACATAACTGAAGGATGTAGCTAGCTTATTAGTTACCCGGCCTGCGAACCACGTAGGCTTGGTAGTTTTTAGGGTCAACACTTTCTCTGTTTCTTTAACCATAAACTGAATCTGAAAATTACAGGTACCTTGTCCCGGCTGATCTAACTGTGGGACAATTTGTTTATGTTATCCGCAAAAGGATTAAGTTAAGTGCAGAAAAGGCGATCTTTATATTCGTGGACAATGTACTCCCACCAACAGGTATGTTCTTTTGATATTGTCCTTAAGAGGATGCTGCTCTTTGCTTGGCCTTTCAATTGAACATGGCCAACCTATAATGTCTTCCATCGTTACCAGGTGCAATTATGTCTGCCATATATGAAGAGAAGAAGGACGAAGACGGGTTTCTCTACGTCACGTACAGCGGTGAGAACACATTTGGTTATCAAATTCCACTGTAGAGCTCCCGATTATTTGGATACCCCCATCATCTTCCGTTCCCGGCGCACATTTGATTTCATCTTTGCTATCTTCATTTCCTTATGCTGATGCTTCTGTTATTATGCCTACTTCATAAACATCTTCGCGATGATAATATGTATAGTCGCTTATTGTACATAATCTCGAAGTTCTTGTTTATGATTAAAATTTCATGTTTGTTTCGTTTCATAATTATTGAATGAAGATCACTGATCAGTGCCAGTTTTAGCTGGTCATGGTTATATAGGGGTACGACATTGATATAAGTTTTATATATTCCTTCCCCATTTCATTTGTATAAAGAAAATGAAAATTACAATGTTGTAGAAAATATGATGAGCTTTGTTTCGCATTGGCGGTTATCTAGAGCATGAGACTAAGGTCATTAGTAGGTTTAGAGCAGCTCTCAAATGGGATGATAATTTGGTGTCGGGTGGCTTCAAAATAGATGAGGATTTCTTGCTTTTGTAATAGGTGAAATTCTAGGGTTCCATTTTCAAAACTCACCAAATTTGAAATTCACTTGGAGAATAAAATATGATCACGGTTATTACGGAAGCAATCTGACCCAGCTTGAATGAAGCGAAAAACATGTCCTTTCTTAGGAACCCACTGCACAGCCTCCAACTAAAGTCCCCTGATTTTCTTTACTGCTATCTGGAATTTTATGTCAGGCCGGACAACACAAGCACATACCAACTATAACTGGGTTTGGAACAAGAAGCAAGTCTGGGTTTGGAACGAGAAGCAAGCTTTTGAATAGGAATGATGTTTTCAACGACAACGATGTTTGAGCAAACGTGGGAGAGGGAGCACTTTTGTAGGAGTCCAAGACTTACTTAAGATAGAAAGTGTTGTTGTCGGGGAGTACAGTTTAAATCCTAAGAAATTTTGAATTCATGCTAGCCACCATTTTAATTAAGTGGCGGATCAGTTATGACCTGGTTTCATCCTAAATTCATTTTAATGGAATTGTTTTCAGTTGTCTAATTTTCATTCAACGGGCCACATTCCATCTGTACACGTGGTCCGCAAAGTGCCATCCTCACCTTCTGCCAAACCCATCAAATTTCTTGCCGTCCAACAAAAGGGAAAGCGTTGTTGTTTCGATATGATTTTTATATTTACTTGAAAAGCTGCCACTTGAGCGCCACTTTTGTACTTTCAAGCCACATAAGTAATTTTGATGGAATGAACAGAAATACACAAAAGTAAAGCAAATATTGAGTTTCATAGCGTAAAGTGAGATCGATGTCAAGTTCTGAGGAGTATTTCAAAAAATAGGCCAAATGATTATATCGTTCATCTGATTCAAATCAAAACTGTGTGCGACCGAGCAAATAACTTATCCTCTATCAGTTATTTCTCTCTTGGGGAATCCACTTTGAACGAACAAACAATAATCTGATGAAGGATGGAATGTGAAATTAAGGAAAACCGACAGAACTAAAAGGAAGTGCCAGAAATGCAAATGATATTAACATATACATGTAAAGTAAAGTACGCCTTGATTTATATATAACTAAAAAGATAATATTATGAATTGAAGTGCGTAAGGTAAAGAATTGAAAGGCTAATCCATGAAGTAACCGCATACACAATAGAGGAATTGGACACAAATGTGGTGAATTAAATTGCAACAAAAGTAAACTAAATTACACTACGTAAATGAATTGAAAGACAAGTGCAGAGGGTAACTTGCATAAAAGTAACGGTTATTGACTAGAGCCACATTACGCTATTCCTAGGATATGAATTGAATTGTAGTAGAACAAAAAGTTGTTGGACGTGTGTTGAGGGTTATTTTGATACGATTTGGTGTAAATGCAATCACAACAATAGATTGACCTTGTACATGGTCAAGTATTTATAGCAGCTTTGATGTCATCAACTCATTCCGCATGTCTAAATCAAATTTTAACCTAAACTGAATTCAGTCCAGAATCTTAGTCCAAGTCATGTGATGACTTGAATTGGGACGAAATCACACATTGGCATGAGTTGTACCACTATTATTGTCCAATTATCCAATATTATCATCATCTAGGGCCAGTTTTATTACTCGATTACAACCCAAGATCAATGAGGCCGGGTGGTGTAAAATTTGGGCACAAATACATCCCTTGCATAAAGCTAAAACACAACAAGAAGTCCAATACATTCAGTTTGAGTTGTTATAGCGTCAGTCAGTCGGGCGTGAAATTAGTCTATTCCATTCCATTTTAAGATAATGTTAGGGCTAATCTTTGCCAACCCCGCGTGAACTATTAATAACCATTGATGAAATGAGCTATACATTTCAACACCCACCAATTCATGATGCCAACTTCTTTTATCCAGCCTAACAACCATGTGAATGGATTGGACTCGTTACCATGTTCATAGTCACTGACCAAAGCCCCTTAAATTGGATGAGGATCATAGAAATCAATTCATCTTAGATGTTTATCTTACATCGTGCAACCAATTTTCGTTAGGTACTATTTATGTTCAATTTTAAATAAAAAATTGAAAATGATTTCTAAACGTATAATAACTGACGAACGGATAGGATTCTATTCCCTTTAAATTGAAACCAGAAACAGGGGTTGGGCGGGGTTAGGGTGCGACCTCCATTGGCGATTTTCACTCCAAAACCACACACTTTTCTATGTATTTATTGCATATTAATTTATAAAAATTATATTAATATATATAATTTCGGAAATACCATCAGCGCTCCATTTCCGACTCAATTTTTTTTTCTCAAAATCTCCAAACCCACTCAATACCCGTTTATTGTCCTCCATTAACCGTCCCATTAGGGTTGGGTACCCACGGATACCAAAATCTGTGGTGTTTTTTTGTCATCCTATTGAAACCATGCAGCAAGAGACAACCAAATAAAAATCAAATTCCAAATGAAAGTAATTTCAGTGCATTTCTTTCAATTTTTAAGACAAACATGAACAAAAAGAAGACAACATGAATCAAAGAACATAATTAAACAAAATGTTATAAAAAAAAAAAAAAAGTGCTGAAATTATTTCCTATTCAAACCTAATTGGCTAAGACGGTGACGTGGAAGAAAAACCAAGTGCCAGGCGCATGGAGTACATGCACATAGAGTGCATACTAAATGCGGACTCTGGTGGGGGAAGGTGGACCTTTCCATGTCCACAAAGGAGCTGCATGTGACGGTTTTGCCATGCTCCTTTGTCTCCTTCATCCCCATGGGTCCTATTCAACTTATTGTTTGGTCCCATTCAACTTCTTCTGCACTTAATTTACACATTCACACAACTTTCTTAGAAAAAAGCACTCATTTTAACTTCATTTGAATGAGATTATAACTCAGTTGGTTAAAAGTATTTATACTTACATCTAAGTTTTCGTGTTTAAATCCCTCTACCTCTTCCCTACCATCACTCGCATCAAGAAAAAACAAAACCTTCATGTTTCCATACCTCAATAGGTATTAAAATTACTCGATCCATGAGATTAATTATTGGACAATACTTGTGTCCAACTCATTGATTCTTCATTGTCAACTTAGTTGTGATTAACATATCTTCATCATACAAATATTATAATCAGAACAGTTCATATTTTTAATCATCATTTACATATCATTTTAAAATAATAAGAAAAATCAAATAAATTAAAGATCATCTAATTATCCACATTGAAAGTAAAGTTCTATAAACTAAATGGGCAATTAATGAACCACAACCAGTCATAGTGATCTGTTTTTTTTCTTTTGTCAAACCGTAGATTTGTTAAATTAGGCGTTAGATTAGGAAGCTGACGGGTTTGAACTTACGTCGTGGTGCAAGAGCAATGCTCCTCTCCGCCATTGTGGTAGAGGGCCACTTGCAACTACTCATAGTGATCATAAGAGTAAATCACGCCTCTAGTAAAAGTGAAGTCCACCTACGTAAGTAGGTCTCACCTCAATTACATATACGACCTTAATTATACAATGTGCGATGGATTTGGAAATAACCGTTTTCCTCTCTCAATATCTATTTCCATGCATTATGTATGCACCAGATACGTTATTAGCTCTCTATATCATGCTTCTGAGTTTTTAGGGGCCCTCAAATTGATTAAAAAGTGAGAGATGAAGGGGACAAGGGGAGGCCTTAATATCTTGAGTTTAGTTTTAGACGTTCATCACCCAAACACCCGCATGTTCTCTTTAAGAACGTCTCTAGTCCCATACTCTACCTGCATTTATTGCTCCTCCTTCCCCTTTAACTACAAATACTATGCAAACCTAACATTTCTACTCACTCACATATACAAACGACTCAGTACTTATATTTCCTTTACTCCCATCGATCGATCGATCGATCGATCTATCGTGAATTCTGTTTGTGACTTCAAAACGTTCAGATCATAATCTCTGTCATTCATAAGTATGTCTCCAATTGTTCTTCTCCTTCTTCTGTCTCTTTCCATGCATGCATGCAACGGCCAACTTCTAGGCTTCCTTCCTAATGAAAGTGGCCATAGAGCCTACCATTCTGTTGAGGTCGGTACAACTATTTCCATTATTTCTTGTTATATTATATAATATTAACCACTAACCTTATATATATATACATGCACACACATGTATACACATGAAACAGATAACTGATGGGATTAAACTAATTAAACCAACCAAAACGATCATCATAATCTCATATAATTGTAAGTAGAAGATTGTTCTGGTGGTTAGGACATTTTTCTTTAATTTACTGCGTCTCGAGTCGGGTTCAAATTCTCCCCCTACTATAAATTAATGTAAAATATTGGTTGTACTAAAAAAAAGCCTCATCTAATTACTGAAATATAGCTACCTGAAATGCTCTTGAAAAAATGTGACATAGCGTAGCTTGCATGCAATATTTGAGCGGTTTTTTATTAGTTGTATAGTATTGAAAGAGGCCTAACTATTTTAGGGTTTGGTGCAGGATGTTGGGAATGTCTTAAGACGTTCTGAGACTTCAATGTCGTCGACGAGGCCTTCCATCTCAGTAGAGTTCCAATCAAAAGAAGTAGAAGTGAAAGACGCTGAAACTGTACTCACCCTTGAGAGTATTCCAAACGATGATGGTTCGAGGAAACGAGGACATGTTGATTTTGGACCAACTTCAGGTTCTTATCTATCTTCGAATTAACCAAGTCTTAATGCACCTAGTTTTATAAAAATTACGAAAGTAATCTCATTGATTTTTTTTTTTTTGACCAAAATCTTATTGAATTATTAACCACGAAAGATAAAACATTCCAAGAAAAAGGAAAAAACTCAAATTAGTTCCCAATATTTGTATTCTTATTGTGTATGTTATATCTGTTGTTGATGATGATGCCATATGGTGGTGATTAGCAGGACAGGATATTTTTACATTTTCTCAGATTCACCAGAAGAAATCGATTAAAGTGAAGGTACGTACATAGTAGTAGTTCTAGTCTTTTAGATTGGTATGTTGTATGATCTCTGTTAGAATGATGCCTAATAGTGCAAGTGGTCATATATATGTACTTCATCACCATATGTCCCCTGTGAGGAAATCAGTGCATGTGGTCAAATTAAGTATGCATGCACGCTACATGTAGCCGTTGGTGGCATGGCATACATGCATACATAACATAATTAGGATGAGAAGAAAATCAGTACTGTAAACTTGGTTTTGCAGCAACATGACAACATAACGTAATGTTCTCTTATTAGATTTATTTCATCAAACAAATATTTAATTTGGACACATACACATTAAGACAAGAGTCAACATAGTTACCGCAATATAGATTCCCTGTCTAACAAAATAATACATGCATGATAGCCTTCCCTGTAGTCTGATAATTAAGAGAAGATAATATGGGTGTGTGTGTGTGTGTGTGTATGTATCATCAAATAATCGCATGGAAATTCATAATATATTATATGAACGATCGATGTTGTATGTTATAGGGATTGGAGAGGCAGACAAGGGCATTACTGGGATCTGCTACACTGCATGATCAGATGGAGGAAGATAAAGATCCGAAAGGAAACGAAGCTACGGAGGACGTAGGTGTTATGGATTATGCACAACCTCACAGGAAACCACCCATTCACAATGAAAAGTCGTAGACATATTATATATATGATCTACTTCTCTGATGAATTTACGCTTTAATTTTTACTAATTAGCAAGCGCTTAAGAAAACCAATATAGTCGGGTCTTTTGCAAAACCTTGGAAAAGAAGAAAACAAAGTGTCCACTAGTGAGTAGTGACAAAATGGTGATTTGATGGATGATGGCTCCTCTCATTGTTTCTGTGTGTTTTTATGTTAATAGTTTCATAAATGATTGTAATCAAAGGTGAAACATATTATATGGATGTGTCTAGGCCTGGCAAACGGGTCGTGTCTGTCGTGTTCGTGTCGTTTTCGTGTAACACCTGTTATCTTAACGGGTCGTGTCGTGTCACACCCGTTATCTTAACGGGTCCTTAACAGGTCGTGTCACTTTACCCAACGGGTAAAGTGACCCGACCCGTTATGACCCGTTAAGAAAAAAATATTTTTTTTTACAATTTGCACATATCACACATTGCGACATAAATATTACTTGAAAACATTAAAACATTTCTCGTTCAAGTACTATATCTACACTCGAAAATGAAAGCCTAATAAAAAAAATAATACATACACTACTAATCTATTACAAATATTAAATGTGCAAGGATAAAGAGTTTTTGTTTTTAAGATTGTAAGTCTTTCTTAAAAGTTTACACCTCCATTTACAAAATCTTCAATTTACATCGAACATCATGAAATTATATTGGAACTTTGGCTTGATCTATTGCCTTCAAGAGTTATGTTGAAGATGTTTTCAGTAAGATTTTCCACGTCAGAACTCTCTTCCGCATAAAATTATTAAATTAATGTATATAATTATTAATATGATAGTTGATTCATACTTTTATTAAGTATATAAATTCCACTAGTATAAATATTTTAAATTGAAGATCGAATTCATTCATTGTATTCATATAGGGTCAAGGAGTGTAGTTATAAAAAATCATCAAAATCGGAGTTAAAATAACCGTTAAATCTTGATTTTTCGTTTATAACCGTCGAAAAGCTTTATCCCGTTACTTGATCTCTGAATGTTTTTTTTTTGTGATTTTTTGCTGATGTGATCTCCAAGCATATACAAACAATTTTGACGGTTTTGATCGTTGAAATTAGTTTTGGAGAATTCGAAAAATGATTAATTGACTAACACTTAGAGTTTATTTATACTTTTATTAAGTATAACATAAGATTTTGTGGTATCCACTTGTGTAAATATTTTAAATTGAAGATCGAATTCATTCATTATATTCATATAGGGTCAAGGAGTGTAGTTATAAAAAATCATCAAAATCGGAGTTAAAATAACCGTTAAATCGTGATTTTTCGTTTATAACCGTTGAAAAGCTTTGTCCCGTTACTTGATCTTTGAATGTTTTTTTTTTTGTGATTTTTTGCTGATGTGATCTCCAAGCATATACAAACAATTTTGACGGTTTGGATCGTTGAAATTAGTTTTGGAGAATTCGTAAAACGATAGATTGACTAACACTTAGAGTTTATTTATACTTTTATTAAGTATAACATAAGATTTTGTGGTATCCACTTGTGTAAATATTTTAAATTGAAGATCGAATTCATTCATTGTATTCATATAGGGTCAAGGAGTGTAGTTATAAAAAATCATCAAAATCGGAGTTAAAATAACCGTTAAATCGTGATTTTTCGTTTATAACCGTTGAAAAGCTTTGTCCCGTTACTTGATCTTTGAATTTTTTTTTTTTGTGATTTTTTGCTGATGTGATCTCCAAGCATATACAAACAATTTTGACGGTTTGGATCGTTGAAATTAGTTTTGGAGAATTCGTAAAACGATAGATTGACTAACACTTAGAGTTTATTTATACTTTTATTAAGTATAACATAAGATTTGTGGTATCCACTTGTGTAAATATTTTAAATTGAAGATCGAATTCATTCATTGTATTCATATAGGGTCAAGGAGTGTAGTTATAAAAAATCATCAAAATCGGAGTTAAAATAACCGTTAAATCTTGATTTTTCGTTTATAACCGTCGAAAAGCTTTGTCCCGTTACTTGATCTCTGAATGTTTTTTTTTTGTGATTTTTTGCTGATGTGATCTCCAAGCATATACAAACAATTTTGACGGTTTTGATCGTTGAAATTAGTTTTGGAGAATTCGTAAAATGATAGATTGACTAACACTTAGAGTTTATTTATACTTTTATTAAGTATAACATAAGATTTTGTGGTATCCACTTGTGTAAATATTTTAAATTGAAGATCGAATTCATTCATTGTATTCATATAGGGTCAAGGAGTGTAGTTATAAAAAATCATCAAAATCGGAGTTAAAATAACCGTTAAATCTTGATTTTTCGTTTATAACCGTCGAAAAGCTTTGTCCCATTACTTGATCTCGGAATGTTTTTTTTTGTGATTTTTTGCTGATGTGATCTCCAAGCATATACAAACAATTTTGACGGTTTTGATCGTTGAAATTAGTTTTGGAGAATTCGTAAAATGATAGATTGACTAACACTTAGAGTTTATTTATACTTTTATTAAGTATAACATAAGATTTTGTGGTATCCACTTGTGTAAATATTTTAAATTGAAGATCGAATTCATTCATTGTATTCATATAGGGTCAAGGAGTGTAGTTATAAAAAATCATCAAAATCGGAGTTAAAATAACCGTTAAATCTTGATTTTTCGTTTATAACCGTTGAAAAGCTTTGTCCCGTTACTTGATCTTTGAATGTTTTTTTTTTGTGATTTTTTGCTGATGTGATCTCCAAGCATATACAAACAATTTTGACGGTTTGGATCGTTGAAATTAGTTTTGGAGAATTCGTAAAACGATAGATTGACTAACACTTAGAGTTTATTTATACTTTTATTAAGTATAACATAAGATTTGTGGTATCCACTTGTGTAAATATTTTAAATTGAAGATCGAATTCATTCATTGTATTCATATAGGGTCAAGGAGTGTAGTTATAAAAAATCATCAAAATCGGAGTTAAAATAACCGTTAAATCTTGATTTTTCGTTTATAACCGTCGAAAAGCTTTGTCCCGGTACTTGATCTCTGAATGTTTTTTTTTTGTGATTTTTTGCTGATGTGATCTCCAAGCATATACAAACAATTTTGACGGTTTTGATCGTTGAAATTAGTTTTGGAGAATTCGTAAAATGATAGATGACTAACACTTAGAGTTTATTTATACTTTTATTAAGTATAATATAAGATTTTGTGGTATCCACTTGTGTAAATATTTTAAATTGAAGATCGAATTCATTCATTGTATTCATATAGGGTCAAGGAGTGTAGTTATAAAAAATCATCAAAATCGGAGTTAAAATAACCGTTAAATCTTGATTTTTCGTTTATAACCGTCGAAAAGCTTTGTCCCGTTACTTGATCTCTGAATGTTTTTTTTTTTTGTGATTTTTTGCTGATGTGATCTCCAAGCATATACAAACAATTTTGACGGTTTTGATCGTTGAAATTAGTTTTGGAGAATTCGTAAAATGATAGATTGACCAACACTTAGAGTTTATTTATACTTTTATTAAGTATAACATAAGATTTTGTGGTATCCACTTGTGTAAATATTTTAAATTGAAGATCGAATTCATTCATTGTATTCATATAGGGTCAAGGAGTGTAGTTATAAAAAATCATCAAAATCGGAGTTAAAATAACCGTTAAATCTTGATTTTTCGTTTATAACCGTCGAAAAGCTTTGTCCCGTTACTTGATCTCTGAATGTTTTTTTTTTGTGATTTTTTGCTGATGTGATCTCCAAGCATATACAAACAATTTTGACGGTTTTGATCGTTGAAATTAGTTTTGGAGAATTCGTAAAATGATAGATTGACTAACACTTAGAGTTTATTTATACTTTTATTAAGTATAACATAAGATTTTGTGGTATCCACTTGTGTAAATATTTTAAATTGAAGATCGAATTCATTCATTGTATTCATATAGGGTCAAGGAGTGTAGTTATAAAAAATCATCAAAATCGGAGTTAAAATAACCGTTAAATCTTGATTTTTCGTTTATAACCGTTGAAAAGCTTTGTCCCGTTACTTGATCTTTGAATGTTTTTTTTTTGTGATTTTTTGCTGATGTGATCTCCAAGCATATACAAACAATTTTGACGGTTTGGATCGTTGAAATTAGTTTTGGAGAATTCGTAAAACGATAGATTGACTAACACTTAGAGTTTATTTATACTTTTATTAAGTATAACATAAGATTTTGTGGTATCCACTTGTGTAAATATTTTAAATTGAAGATCGAATTCATTCATTGTATTCATATAGGGTCAAGAAGTGTAGTTATAAAAAATTATCAAAATCGGAGTTAAAATAACCGTTAAATCGTGATTTTTCGTTTATAACCGTTGAAAAGCTTTGTCCCGTTACTTGATCTTTGAATGTTTTTTTTTGTGATTTTTTGCTGATATGATCTCCAAGCATATACAAACAATTTTGACGGTTTGGATCGTTGAAATTAGTTTTGGAGAATTCGTATGCCATCAATCAAGTTCCGTGTGTGTGTGTGTGTATATATATATATATTTATTAAGTAGATTTAAATCTATTTATTTTGTACGTATAAATTATAATTGACTGGTACACGGAATAGTACATACATCACGTGTCACGTGTTCATTATAAAAATAGTGAGATATGTCATGACAGTCATGTGTGTGATAAAAAGTTAATAACTTAAAAAAAAAAAAATTTCTCACCACTTCTATTAATTTTCATTTTTCCCTCTCTTTTTTGTTTCCTTTTCAACTTTTTCTTATCATTTTCACTTTTCCCTCCAACATCTTTCCCTAATTCCCTCACTTTTTTGTTTTATTTTCAACTTTTCTTAACATTTTCATTTTCCCTCCATTTTTTTTTCCAAAAAGGACGGCAAGTTGGCAAATGCATGATCATGCATATTAAATTATTAATTCATATGCATTATAATTTTTATAAAATTTAATATATATATATATATAATATAATTAGTATAGATAGACTTAATATTTTGGGGGTATAATTATTATAGTATATATAATTATTATAATTATTATAAATTTTATAGTTAATTTAATATATATATATATTTATTATAATTTTTAGGGGTATAAAATTGTAAAATTAATGTATATAATTATTACAATATTTTTTTAGGGGTTATAAAATTATAAAAATAATATTTTGCTTATCGTGTATCGTGTTTACCCACGTGTATACCCGACCCGACCCGTTATCTTAACAGGTGCTTATCGGGTTACCCGATAAGACCCGATTCGTTATCGTGTCGACCCAAACACCTGTTAATTTCGTGTCGTGTCGTGTCGGGTTATCGGGTCGTGTCAGAAATTGCCAGGCCTAGATGTGTCACAGCCCTTTGTGTTGTCATGGTCGGTACTTTGGCTAACTACATTCACTCTTTATATTTGGAACCATTTTTCAAAATGAACCTCAATATTTTGAATTTTCACATTACACATGAAAATGCAATCACCTACAAATGTTTCAGTTAAAAACTACGATCATGAGATAGAGCCTCAAGGTAAAAGGAGTAGATGAAGACTTGGAAATAGACTTTAAGAAAAAACATGAAGTACTTGGAGTTAACAGACGACTTGATGCAAAACCAAGCGCAATGACATTTTAGGATTTATACAACCGACCTTGCTTAATAGAATAAGGCATTGTTGTTGCTCTACGCAAGAAATTTATCATATCAATCAATTTATGCGTGCCTATTTGATTGTCTGGTCAATCACTAGATGGATGACGTAAGACTCATCTCTTAAGTGATGTTGAAGCCATGCTAGCACCACATGGACAAAACCTAGTTATTATGGAGCTTCAGCTTCTCCTGAATCAGTACTTCTCCTTCCAAAACGACGACAAATCACGTGGTTGGTTCCGTTATCAACTAATGGAGAGCCATTTGCTCAAAGAAATGAAGGACAAAAATTTATAGGGTTTCAAAAAACCCTTAAGCTGCAATGAGAAAATTTGCAAAGAAAATTTATGTTTTTCTTAAACAAATGATATTATCTACACTAAAGGGGTGAGAAAGTAGGCTAGGTCTTACAATGGGTTAGCAGCAATAATGTGGTTTAAATTCGTCTTTGGTGAAAATCAAACCGAAGACCCCTCACTTACAAGTAAAGAGGAATACCACTAGACCACAATAACTGACAAAAAAATAGATTCTTTTCCCTGTTAATAAGTTTGTCCATTCAGTGATTGTTCTACGATATGGTAGTTATGGCAGTTGGTGAAAATCAACTGCAATAATATGATTTAAATTCGTCTTTGGTGAAAATCAAACCGAAGACCTTTTACTTACAAGTAAAGAGGAATACCACCAGACTATAGTACTAGCTGACAAAAAAATAGACGCTTTTACCTGTTAATAAGTTTGTCCATTCAGTGATTGTTCTACAAGACGGTAGTTATGGCAGTTGGTGTTTCACATTGCAGCTTATCAGTAGCTAGTAGCAACCCATCATATATTTTCCAATTTTCCAATTAACCACACTGCACAAATTGGCTGGAAAATGGATGGATGTTCATGTCCATGCACTAAATGCATTCGACATTACATTTTCGTTAAAAATGCCAGGAAGAAAAGCAGTAGCTATTCATAAAATCTGGAAGGAAACCAGCCCCTGCTCTATACATAAACTACATTAGTTATGGGACTCAATCTGTTTGAAATGAATCGATCATCGGCAGGAGTAAAAACACTACAAGATAGCAACCAAAGCAGTTAATCAATTCATGGGTTTTGTTTGATAATGTATTCTTTTATAAATTTTGATTCTAGTTTCTTTGGATAAATCAAGAACTACTGCAGCTCACAATAAAAGGTTTAGCAAAGTTTATAAATTCTGAGGTTCTGATGCCCAGCTTCAGATCAACCTCGCTGCCGCCCAACCAGAAGAAATCGGGATTAAGTTTCTCAATTGCTTCATCCAAAATCACCTGAAACAAAAACCATTCATCATCACCATAAGAACAGCAAAACCAACAAGATGTTCTCGTCTTACACTTATTAAAACGTGTGGTGAGGTGTCAGTGGTCACAAACAATCACTACGGTGTCAGTTCATAGTGTTCTGTCATTGCGATCTTTTCTAGTACACGATACATTATATGGCTCATGTTAGGAATGTGAATACCCACTTGTTTCAAGTTCTACATATTTCAAACATTATATGTCTGCCACTCCCAACACTAATGCATGTGAAAACACACACATTAGGTCGTTTGTTGTCTGTCAAACCTTGCAACAGAATTCTAACCTCTCACTATCAATCAGTTTTTTGTCTAACAGACTGGGAGAAAATCATTAATCATGACAACCAATACAATGGACCAGCCGAACAGCTGGTCTGAAAGTTGGAAGGATTGAATCTATAAACAGGGCTCTAGGTAATTGAACCTCGGGGGCCTGTGTGCTAGACCTTAACCTATAATGAAAAACCAGAGGTGGTTTGTCTTAAGAACACCGGACAGTGCAGGTGTTGTGTAAAGAATGTGATAGTTATAAATGTAGTAAAATCCAAAAATAAGATTCCAAATCTAATATAAATACAAGATCCTTATATAAGCTTATGAGACCAAGAGCATGTTAGAGAAGAGTTTAAAAGAGCAAATGAACAAATAATCTAGATATGGGAACCACGGGAACCATCCCAGTTTCACTCTAATCGATAACACCGGACTTCTGAGTACATCAGTTGGCACAAAGTTGAATTATCAAGGCACAGATATATCAGAGGAAAAGGATCTTAAGTATCATGTCAAGCAGAAAAAATTCTTGTAGCATAAGAACATAAAAAATAATTCCAGTTCCAAAGGACACGAAATACATAGTAAATAATTGCATGTAACAAGTGCTCACAGGAATGTCTGTTTTCATGCCAACACATGTAACTGCATTGTGCTCAAATCCAGTCAATTCTATTGATGTATCCTCAGGTGCAAGTCTCAATGCATACCCAATGACAACAACTATCACCTTCTGAAATATACAGTAAAGTAAGAAAACCATATACAATTGAAGATCTCATTTTAAGGTACAAGGGGGAACAGAAAGAAAACCAAAGCAGCTAATTCTGGAAAACGTTTTTTTCTTTTTATTTTTTTTCATTTTTCATTCCTAGAGGTTTGAAGCACATTTTCAATATATTTAAAAAAATGAAAGAGGGGATGGTTTATGGAGATATAATAGGAGTAATACGAAAGAAAAAAAGAATGGAGTTGGACCAACACTTTTTTTGTTTTTCTCAACTGTCCAATGACTCAAACAGGGGTTAAGAAAAAAAGTTAACCAATACCGTTGCAACACGTCCCTATAAATTTAAGAAGGCTCAAACGGGATGGATTTAATTTTCTTAGGTAATAGGTTGCTAAGAATAATCATGTGCAGAGAGTTGGACCAATGTTCCTTCAGAGTGAAGGAAGAAATGGGATAAATTGAGAAGATTATGAACAAAGCCATGCCAAAAACAGTTGGGTGAAAAGCTCACACTGCAGCCATTCTAACAGTACAGTAGATATGAATAAAGAAAGATAGTCACGGGAGTAAAACAACAGTATTGAAATACTAATATGGAATGGAGTTGGACTAACTCTTTGTTTATTTAATCAACTGTCCAACGAGGCAAAAGAGGGTTATGGAAAAATGTTATCCATTAAGTAACAATGGCACACATCTCCATGGGTTAAGCAGAAGGCACAAACAGAAAGCATATTTGATTCAATGTACGCACAGATAAAAATCCTGGAAAACATTTTTTTGAAAAGTAGGCTCCCAAGAAGATCAAATGCAAGAGCCGGACCAAATATCTTTGAGAGAATGAAGAAATAAATTGGTGGACTCTAAGAATACCGTGCATAAATCCATCTCAAGAACAGTTGGACCAGAAAAGCCCAAAATTGCCAAAAATATTTGCACACTTCCAGACTATTATTGCAAAGAAGAAGGATGCATAGAAATGAAGAAGGACGACTGGAACAACTTTTCTATTTTTTCAACCTGTCCGACAAGTGTTGTGAAGAAATGTTCTCCTATAACATTGGAACACACTCCATGGACTTAAGGAGTATGATCAAGCCGAAGGAATATTTATTTGATATACGCACAGATAAAATCTTGGAAACCATCTTTTGGAAAATAGGTTTTCAAGAAGAACTATGTGCGAAAAGTTGGGACAACTTTTTTGAAAGAGTAAAGGAAGAAATGGGAGGAATCTGAAATTGCCATATGAAGAAAACTTGGACATTAAAAATTATAGTCTAATACCATTACATGTCATGAAACAAGAAGGTGTATAAATTGGTACATCAGCGTTTAAACGCATTACAACACCTACTGCAAAATCACATTGTATATTGCCATTGTTCATAACCCGTGCTTGCTCTGACTTTCAATTGCACATTATGCATTTGCCAAAAAGATGCAATGTTACCATCACTAGACTCCAAAACATGACACCTCCTATGAACTCACATTGCTAGTTTGCTACCTAATTGACAGTAGGAATTCTCCATGGTTGTACATATTAGATAATGCACTCATCAGAATTTCACACCAAAAAATAGAAAGAACATAACGGCTCAATATTCAAACATTTTGAAGTATATAAACTCAGTAATCGAGAACTTATCAACAAGTTACTGATTATCAAGAGACCAAGAACTGACAGTTGAATTTCTTTTTCGCTATCTTGCCCTCGTTGAGCGAATACAAGAAGTTCTTAACAGCTTCAGCATTAAACCGAGCAGTGTACTGCACCCAAAAACAAAAGGGTCCAAATTTCACATACCTCACACAATAGCATTGTTATTGTTTCGATTAAAAACATACCGACAAAAAATACACTATAAGTACCTGAACGACAACAACATAGTATTTTGAATTTTTGCGGTCACTACAATCAACGACACTGGATTGGGGTAACGCAAGCAAGGTCGGACTAAACAAATCAAAATTTACAAATGGGTTATTTCGTTTGAGGTACAAAATCATTTCTGATATTAGAGTTCAGTCAACGAAGACTACAAAGATTGAGTTGGGTACCAACTACCAAGACAATGCTTTTGCAGAGATGGTGGATTGAGGCAGCGCCGGGCGTCGAGAGACCAATCGTAGTAATCGGAGGGAACCCTCTTGAAGGCGAAGTTTTTTACGTCATTGGCTAGGAGAAAGGAGGAGAGGCGGGCTTCGTTGGCGCTGACGGCCGCGTTTTGAGTTGAGGTAGGGATGGGGGTAGCGGTGAATTGCGGAAGAGAAGTGGAGATGGAGAGCTCAAGCTTTGATATGCGTTCGAGGATTTGGGTTTTGGATTCGCTCTAGCTTTGCTAGTGAGTCTGCCATTCTCTGCCCTTCTCTCTCTGTTGGGTCTTTCGAGCTTTTTGGTTGGGCATGTGGACGACGCTCTCCTTGGAGCAACTCCAGCCCTCCACAAATAAGCTGGGCAACAGCCCATTTTCCCCCTCCCGCCAAAAGCCCACTCCACCCCATCCAATTAGCTGGGCTTCGGTGGAGGCCAGCCATCTACCCAGCTAAGAACTGACTGACCCAGTAACCAGCCCATCTGACGTTGGGCTGAGGCTAGCATGACGTTAGACACATGCAGATATTTTCTTTTGTGCCAGGCATGTGAAACACGCGTCAGTGGGTGCGTGTTCCTGACAGCACATAGAGGGGTGGGCTTGCGTTGCAGGCACACTAAGTGGAAGCGCAACTTGGGCCATGTGGCGCGACGATGGCCGTTGGATTTCCAACGGTAAAAAAACTTTGAATTTGAAATCAAACAGCTAGTGATGTGGCAAAATTTAGACCATTCAATTTACAGATCAACGATCCAGATTTTTCAGCAAAAAAAACTTTAAAAAAAATGTCTGAAATCTTACCTTTGGCCACGTGTCCAATTTTGGGCACTTGGATTTCAATCTTTTTGAAATCCAACGGTTCAGATTAATTAACTTAATTAAAATTGTTTGAAAATACAGAAAAATAAAATGAAAAATTATTATTATTTTCTATAAATACCTAACCATCATCTTCCACCTTACACCACATTTCAATATTTTCAACACTTTCAACCAAAGTTTTCAAATACTTTTGTGTGCAAAAAAATGGCTAATTGGATGGTCATCGAATATGTTAAGTTGTGTGAATGCTGGGTTCAAGCTACTCATGACCCGATTAAGGTTAATGAGATGCATTTGCGAGAACTTTGGAGTAAAATTACTACATCGTTTTGCGAGAAGCTTGGCAACACAAGAACGAGTCGAGGTCTTCAAGGTTGTTGGAAAAACCTCAACCAATCGCTTACTCATTGGAAAAACGATGTCCACCTTGGCTAAATGTTGTTTGCTCGGTACTACGCTCCGTCGTATTTAGTTCCATTGACCCAATATGTGACTTTCGGTGACTTTCCTTGTTGCACCTCGTCAAACACTAGAGATTGGGCAAGGACATTGAGGTTATTTTGAGCACCTAGAACACCAAAAAAGCATGCCAAATCCATGTATCAAATGATGTTGCCGCTTCCAAAATGATACTTTTGGCTTTTTTTTTGGTACCATAAGCTCCTTGCCACGCACTTGGACAGTTTTTCTAGGTCCAGTGCATACAATTCATGCTTCCAAGTCAGGAAAGCCTCGCATCTCACCCTTCTTCAGAAGCCTTCACAAGTCCATTGTTGTGGGTTTCCGGATGTACTCATTGGTGTAGATATCTTTGATTGCAGAGCAAAACCTCATCAGGAACTCTAGAACAGTTGATTTTTCGTCCTCGTAATATCATCCAATTGATCTACGGATGAACCATTTGAAAGCATCTGTAAGGCAACAGTAGTTTTTTGCTCAGGACTAAGACCTATAACATGAAAAGCTTCATTTTTTTTGCACAAAGTATGGATCACAGTTGCAAAGAACAATCATGATTATGTTGAACAAACTTCGTTGCAGTCTAAAACGATGTCTAAAAACATGATCAAGGAATACGCTGTTGGGGATAAAATAATCTTTCAAGAGATCATTACGTCGTCTTTCCCTCTTTCAAGAGCTCCCTGCCTTCTAAGTTCATCATCCTCTTCCTTTTCCATTATGAACGCCTCACCTGCACCATCCTTGAGATTGAACAATTCTTCATGTTCCTCAAACAATTTTTTCTCTTGCTTATCAATTTCATACAATCTCCTTGAAGAAGACATTGTGAGAACTCAAGATTTATAAACTATGAGAAGGATTATGAGCTAGTTTGAGTTTGGTGTATGAATTAGGATGGATGTATGGTTTATATGGACAAAAAAGAAAGGATGAAGTTGTATATAATGCCACGTGGCAATATGTGATTGGTTGAAAATCTTATTGAAATCTGTTCTAAAGGATTCTAAACAGATAGTGACATGTGGTGCAACAGGATTGGTTCAAAATCTTATCGGAAATCTATCCTTAAAATTCTTATAGAATCATGACATGTGGCGCTACAGAATTGATTAAAATTCTACATTGAAATCTATCCACAAAAATTGTACTTTCTGATAATGACATATGACGTGACAAGATTGGTTAAAAATCCTATCTGAAATTAAAAATAAAATTATTTTTTAATATTAAAAAAAATAAGAATAATATTTCAATATGAATTAACTAGGCAATTCAGTTTAGGGGTGGAGAAGCACTTCCATAGTTACTTTTCATTACAGTCAATTATTATTCATTTGGGTGAATTGAATTGACTCTTGACTAGAGATTTTAGGGGTGGAGTTGCTCTTATACCAACTCCATTTAAATTTGGTGTACCACCTTCCTACAACCTGCCACCTGCTGTTTATCATAACCGTGGTTTCTTTTATTTTTTATTTTTATATTTTTTATAATAAACGATAGATACTCAATAGTAAGAGGTGGAGGGAGTGGGCTAAGCCTTAGCTTGCCATAATAATGTGTTCTTAACCATGGTTAAAAGCACATAATCAATTTTAAATAAAATTTATAAATCTAAAATTAAATATAAAAAAATAAATATCAACAGTTGTCGAATCCAATCATGATACCCTCATGGGCAGCAAGCACCTCAACACACATGTTGACTACTAGAAAACCTTCGTATAAATGTATTTTAGGTTGTTAAGCCAAAAATCAATAAAAACTTTACTATTTAGTCATATATCAATATATATTTTTGTTTTAAACTTAATCAGTCATATATTTTTGTTAGTTCTGCATAGGATAATAATGATTGTCATATATGCTTTAAGTCATTATAAATAGTTAGAACTTGACTCTTCTATGAACTTTAAGTCATTATAAATAATTACAACTTGACTCTCTTATCATTCTCTCTCTCTCTCTCTCTCTCTCTCTCTGTTTACATGGAGGAGTCTGCTCAACTCTGTGGTAGATTCTTAATAAGGTCATCATCCTAGCGATTCTCCGTTTCAGCTTAAGGGTTTCTTAAGTTTGGTTAAAAAATGCCTCTATAAATGAAATTATGAACAAGTCTGTTTTTTTTTTTTTTTTTTTTTTTAAGAATGGTTACTAGGCAAGGGCAGGGTTGGCTAAACTCTCAAGGCATCACTAAGGGGAGAGCTGGTCCAGTTAAGTAGAGGAGCTTGCCAAGAGAGATGGTGAGATTAGATAGCACAGAGTTCTAAGGCCTGTAATTCAAAACCAGGAAACGAACACTTTGTTGCAGCGTCTAAATCCAAATGTAAAAAAACAGAACCAAGAAACAGACATTGCATTGTAGTGTTTGAATCTATATGAAAAAGTTAGTAGTCACGTGAGGTGTTTGAATAAAAAAATAAAAGCTGAACTAGGTATTGCAGTGTCTGTATCCAAAAGTGAAAAACAGAACCAAGAAATAGACATTGCATTGTAGTTTCTGAATCCAAATGAAAAACAAATACATAAGAGGCATGTGAGTGATGGAAAAAAATGAAACTAGAGAATGGATGTTTGAATCCAAAAGAAAAAAAAACAAAAATTTGGAAAAGTACATTGCTTTGCAATGTGTAATGCGCATTGACCCATTCCAAAATAAATATAAAAAAATAGAGAAATGCGGAGTTAGTTGAAGTGGGTGTTAGTTGTATTTGTAGTTTTTTTATTATTTTTGTTTATTTTAAGGGAAGTGTTATTGGGACTCCAAAAATCTCATTGTACACTCCTCACAAGTGTATTTTTCTTTCCTAATATAGAAAGTTTGGAGTGTAGAATGAGATTTTTTGATTGCTAATAACAATTCCCTATTTTAAATGCATTTAAGTATTACAATACATGTTTGACCTATTTGTAATTAACATAGCTGCTGTTGATATATGGTTAATATTATAATTTTTATTGCTTTTATACAAAGTTACCCAATACATAATCTAGTTAAAAACTAACAAATGTGTAGAGTGTTATAAATAGGCAAAAGTGAGAGAGAAAACCTTTTTTAGAGATTGAAGTGGAACGGGAGCAATGTATCTGAAATTAGTACTTGGTGGAATAACCTGCAATTTAAAATCTATATATGTGCTTGTCTGACTAGTTAGAAACACTCATCAACTAAGATCAGATATGTTAGTTTACTCACAGTGGAAGTAATCAATTCAAGGCTCAGTTTACTGAAGTGTTCCTAGTTAACTAAGCTCCAGTTTTAACTCTAACAATCTTAGTTGTATGGACTTATCTATTTGCCAATAATGATGAACATATATCACAAGCAAAGAGTAAGATAAGTAAACTTGAAAAGCGATAAATTGTACGAGATGTTTTTGGCCGGAAAAACCACCTTTGGGTTAAAAAACCGAGGACTCTCCATTGAGTCCAATCCATTAGTGTAAACAAGGTTCATACAAAGACCGCACAAGCTCAATTCCTAGATCCTTATATATGGAGCAACTTTACCTTTGTGCAACCTTGTCTTACACGAGATAAACTCCTTTGGTCATCACTAAGTGGTAGCTCCTCCTGAGCTCTTCACCTTGTGGCACCGATATCAACTCAAATCATGAAATGATATGATGTTATGATATGTATATATAATTTGGATTCAAACGACTAATCAGATTCTCTAGTCAAACATTTGAAGGAACAATCAAACTTGAATCCAAAAGCATGGTCTAAAAATGGATTTAAAGCCTCATACCAGACCAAGAACTTAATGCAAAACCTTAAAACAATTCAACCATAATATACAATGATTGGGTGTTTAATGCATGGAGAAGGTTTGGCAGCAAGGGTTCCATTAATGAAGAAGAGGCAAGCTCAAAACTTTGAAGGCACACTATCTCTAAAATAAATTTTGAACCCCCAAATAACAAAGAACCCTAGCTG